AGTCCTTCGTCCCCGCGGAACCTCTTCGCTTTCCTTTCGGTGAAGTCTTTAATTCCTTGCCTCAGTTTAGCCACCAAACCCTGCAGCTGACACTCCAATGGCTCAGTACTACCCTCGTAAATGTTATTCTCTACCTGCAATGCAAAGTAACTCACGAGGTTTCCCGCGGAGTTCTGCGAAAATGGCGGCTCAACTCTTTTGCGCATGTCCACACTTTGTGTCACGAGAGAATACCTTGGCGTCACCTGGGCGGATGATGAAGCTGCCATGAGGCATCTCCAAAGGAGGGCTGTCACTACTTCAACCTTAGTAGGTTGTTTGACGCTGTCACTCACTAACTTGGCCTTTAGAGCCGCGATCGTTGATTTATCAAACACGCATCTCTTCGAAACGCCTTCCACCCTTTTCAGCTCCAGCGCAGCAGGAGGCGCGAACGAGAAGGTATCTCTGGGAAGGTAGTAGGAAGCCGCTTCAAAATCCGGAACTGCAGTGTTAGCCCACGTCTTCAAGAATACGCTCAGCGTGGCTGCGTCGGCCAACTTATGCGACACACACACGCCTACTGCCACTCCTCCGCAGTCGAAGAAAGTGGCTTGAACAATTAATAATGGCCATGTGCCTGCTTCTGGCGATTCCATCGCGGCAGGAAGGAAGCGCCTTATGAGTGCCTCGTCTTTGTGTTGCTGATCTAGAAAGATGGAGAGGAGGCAATTGAATTTCGCTTCGACATACTGAGCTCCGTCGTCGTGGCATTCGATGACGGTGTTGTCCTTGACTCTCCCGGCAAGCGGGTAGAAAAGAGTTAAGGCTTCAGACAGAGATTTCTTAAGGTGGTTGGATGTTTGGTCGGGCGTGAGGACATTAATATTAGGGTAGAAAAGAACCAAAGAGGTGTAAACTGCAGGGACAATTTGATCGAGAAAAGAGAGCTTAAAGGTTTTAAGGTGAGAAGGAGTTGGAGAAGATGGTTTTATGATTTCTCTTCCAATGATATCAACCTTCATGGTATTCTCTGCCATATCCCTCCTGGTAATTAATGGTCAATTCCTCACGCAGTTTGTGTCGATTTTTTTCTGGCATAACGCTTAGTGGAGATACTGGTTTAAGGGACTAATTGTTTTGATCACCCTCCATATCCTTTGATACCTTTTGAAACATATTTAAATCCACATGTTTTTTTTTAAATCTTTTGACGTCCCCAAGGAGAAATAGATTGATTAGTTAATATTATTGGTAGGGAACTAGCAGCCGGCCATCTTTTGTACTTGATCTCTTTGCAATCTATTTGGATTGATCTGAATGTTTTAGTCTTCCCAGAAGACAAATAAAACAGTCTGAGAAAACGAGGGAGGTAAATAATAGAATATTAAAATTCAGTTAGAAGTAGTTGTCCCGTTTTGTTTAGGAATTCAACAAAAAGTTAAAAGAAAATTGAGTTTATTAACTAAACACTATAGGCTAGATTATGAAACAATCAAAATGAGTTTGTTAACTAAACAATAGCATTTTAAAAGAAAATTGTTAGACTAAAAAATAAGTTTATTAACTAAAAAAATAGTAAAGATTGACTATATGTGATTTGTAATAATTATAGGAATAAATCCAGTAAATCTCTCAAATCTATCAAATTTGAATATGGGATAAATCCGATTTA